ATGAGCGGCCGTGTTGTATCAGATATACAAACTCGAGCCGAAGGCGAGAGTTTGTATATCTGATACAACACGGACGCGAAAAAAACGACTCATCTTATGAGTTCATTGGCGAAGTAATTTTAAAAATAAACGTTGTCTAAGCCGAGAAAATCAAAGTTAAAGTTTATGTAAATCAACATGAATCTGTATCACATATACAGATACGACACGCTAATGATTTTTCTTTGTGTTTTCTTCATGAATTATTAATGCGTTTTTTAAGACTTCTGTGAAACGAGTTCGATAATTAACGGCTTGTCAAATGTTCTGCAGTCTAAAGATTCATGTTGTCTGCACAAGTAGTTTCTTTGGAGACACAATTTGTCTCCCAACAAATCGGAAAATGATTAAGAGAGTAACTCTAATTGATCCACATATTGTATTGACATACGACTGTTGACATTGCTTTTCAGTGAGTCAAGGAAATGCCAATAAATTTTCATTACCCAACCCTTGAGTTGTGTTGTTTTTCATTTACCCAACCCGGCTTTTACTTGCTCAAACTTTGTTTACCCAACCCTTTTCTTTTCGGTGCCACCCCCGGCCATAAATAATGAGCGGTCCATAGTACGTTAATGAAATCTCACGGCTCGGAATTTCCTGTCATTCCCACTGGAGCGGATGCTCCGAAATTCACATGAAGTACCAAAATCCTCCTTAATCTCCTTTCCTTTTTTTATTTACTAGCTTCGTCAAACATCCCATATATTATAAGATCTAGTTAAATTAATAAATTTCTCCGACACTGTGAAAAGAGAGCACACCAAAACCCAGCAGTTCGGGAAAGTTTTGAAAAGCGATTTTTAGTTAATATGTAATACCATGCAGCGTTAATGCATGGTATTGACTTTTATTGTTTTCTTCAAATTTTAGCGGAGAGAAGTGCGAGATAAATATTTTGTTTCTGTTAAGGCCTAGTTCTGCCAGGATTGTGTCTACGAAATACGGATGGATGTACATGAGTGATTATAATTCATGATTATCAACATTTCCATGCTGATGGGAGGGTTCATAACTGTTGATGAAAGTCTCGTAACTTTTCATGAGCTTCGACATGGAAGAGTATACATACGCTGTGGGTGGGTCGAAAAAAGAGAGTACTTCCTGCACGCTTGAGATACTGTATGTTGATCAATATGGATGACCCCTTACCTGTTTGGCTTTTTGTCTAAGAGCTTCCACAAGACTGTGCAAAAACTCTTGCGCCTTTTGTTCCTGCTCTGGTACATTATTATCGATGGCTTCACCCCTGAAGAATAATGTTGTATAATTCATAATGAGTTATCAGATTAATTAAGTTGTACATCCTTAATTGCTATTATCAAACAAAACTTTAGAAGTATATTTTGCATTTTAGAAGTATATTGTGCATTTGTATTGTTTTACAACATCAAATACCTGGATTCTCTTACTAGTACTTTCATTTCACAATAACAAGAATAAATAACAATTTCAGTAAACTCATAAATGTATACTTGTGACGTAGAACCTTGACACATATATATCAAACTATAATTGAAATATCTCGAAAACGAAGCAACGGAATTGAAAGTATAATTAGAAACTGAAACGTAGACTGATCATATCTAAAGGGGCTTTTCAGTGACAAAAATATATATACATATCAATTAATTACTATAATTGTACATCGGATCCTAAATTCAAATAATAAGATCACGTAATTACTTTATACACAAACACGACATCAAATTCTTGACAACAAGATTAACAACAGCAGCATACAACATACATCAACATCATCAACAACGACAGCAAAAACAACAACATCAACAACAATACCAACAACAGAAAAACATGCTCTTAAGCTAACTATCTAGAAATTGCCGAAGCAGTTCCCGTTTCAGTTTAATTTTAAAGCTTGGAATAGATTTGCCGAATATTTGGAATAGATTTGCCAGAGAGTGACAGTTCTGTAATGGAATGTTCTTTGTCCTGCAGTTGATCTGTATAACGGAACATCCAGCTGTTTAGTATTTCTTGTATCGCGACCACTCACTTCACCTCTCGTTTTGAACTGGGACGATAAGTATAAGCAGGGGCGCAATCGTTCATGCATTTGAAAGCTAATAGAGCATCGCGAATGTACAAATGTGACTTCACGGGAAATCAGCGCAGTTCCTTCAGTATCGGTGTGGTGTGGTCAAATTTCCTTCTGTTGCTCACTACTTGTGCTTCGAAGTTCTGGACTCCTTGAAGTCGGGATAGGTTGCTGCATGCAGGAATTATTTGACCAAAGCGAGGAACAGTAGTACAGTTTGCTAAATACCATAAGGCGTTGATGACAGTTATTAAAAGGTTTTTACGGAAGACATGACTTGCAGGATGAAACAGTAGAGAGGATATGATTGTCGAAGGAGAGGATTGGATCAAATTAACTCTGAGATCTTTCACTGATGAAGCAGGTGTAAATCCTTACCAAAAAAGACAAGTATGAAAACTTCACAACTTAACAATTTCCTGCCAACGGTGGGATGGTAACGAACTGTGTAAATACTGCAGTATAAAGCAACCTTTTCTTAAAAGGGCGTTTTTGAGCTCAATTATCCAGAAATAACCGTAACTGTAAAGTAACCCTAACCCTAAATATCTTATAACATCCTTTAATATCTCATGGAAATTGCCGAATCTCTACTACACATTTCGTTCTTAATACAAGTAATCGTTACTTTTTTAGGTAACTGTAACGCTAACTAGTTACGTTTTGAAGAGGTAACTGTAACCATAACTAGTTATATTTTGGCTTAAAATGGAACGACAACGCGTTACTTCTCTGACCAACATTTACGTTACTTTTTTCGTTACATTTTCACGTTAAAATACAGTACTTGTTATTTTCTTTAAACTATCAACTTTTATTATGTTAATGTGGTCGATAATAAAACTGGTTTACTCTACAATAACTCCTATCAAACGCCTATTTACCGGGTTACGGTTATCTTATCCTTAACAGTAATTTAACTGAACTAGCTCGCTGTCAATGAAAGTAACGTTTTAACTAGTTACAAAAATCGTGAAGTAACTTTGTAATGGTAACCAGTGGTGGTAAACCATAATAAAACAATATATGTTTCTGTTCATGTCACAACATACGCATTTTATACACTCTTTTCGACGGATACTAGGGGGTCAAATTTTTGCAACAGGTACTTCTTTTTTTACATTGTCATTGGCGTGTTAATTAAACTACCTTGCAATTCCACTCACAAATGTAAATAATCGTGCAAATATTTTCTCTGAAATGTTGGTTTTCTATGCTTAGCATGTGATTTATAACAAAATGCACTATTAAAAATATTTTTTATTATTTTTTACAAAATGCGGTGTTCTCAGAATGCTGCAAATAGTGCCAAATACCATTTCCGGTATTCAAATTTTAAAATTTTTCATCCAATATTTCTGAAGTGTCCGCCACTGACGGTAACTTTGTAAGTTGTAACGGTAACTATAGTTACATTTTTTTGTGTGACAGTGCAACTCTTACCGGTAACTAGTTCCTTTTTTGAGAATGTAACTGTAACCTTTACAGCACTGTTCAGAACTGTATGAAACTAGAAAGGTTTCAAGTGGTCATGTTTACAGTACATGCCCCAAGATGGGGCCAATATGAATTTGGACAATTGCGTGAAAAGGAAAGTGGTATATATTGATGTTCTGAACGTTCTGAATTATCTCATCGACAGGATAAAGAAACATTGCCTCTAATCAGGCAATGGTAGAACTGCAGTAGATTTATTAATATTCAATTGTGGGAATTTTGTAAATAGGTATACAGAGGAAAATTTTATTAAGCAGCAAACTTTTCATTGTTAGGGGCTGATTACATGGTGCCGAGCTGGCCCGGTTAACCGGGCTGACTCGTTTGTTTAGGACCTTACTGTGGTTTTAAAACTCGCCTAAAATAAATTTGCGATAAATAATTGGTTTAGTATAGATGCAAAATCATCCTAAACCCGATTTAAAACTCATTTTGCGGCCCAAGGAAGATTTTCGTGACATTTTTCAGCCCGGTTAACCGGGCTGGCTCGGTCCATGTAATCAGCCCCTTAGTATGCCTTTATCAATGCTGCGGCAAAGACTCCTAAATTTCTTCAATTGGCAGTTGCATATCCGTGACCCCACAGCTGTTTGTTATTGTCTCTACCTACACTGACCGTTTGAGAATTTGCAGGTTAACCCATTAAAGTGCAAAACTCTCCCTTGATGAGTAAAATCGTCTGACATTAGACAGTGAGGGTAAGAAACAGTGTTTCAATCAGAGACAGCTGCAGTGATGTAAGAGAGATACAAATACCTGAACATATAAACAAAATTAAACATTGATGTTTCGAGCTTTCAGGATATTACTATAGTGGTCTAATTAGCATTTTCATGTTCAAATTTCCAACTAGTTGCCTCTATTATATGAGAGCATTCATTTGGTAGGCTATAAGTGGTGCTATATGTCGCATGAAATTTCGGGCAAAGAAATTTACAGAACTAATAAAGATATCCAATTTTCCAGCAACAAAAGTTGGTCACTGGTCATATGTTGGCAACCTAATTAGCCCAAAATAATTTGCAAAGACTATATAAGGCCTAATTGTTTTTGTTTTGTGGAAACACCACGTAAATTTATTACTGCAATTATATTTTATCGCCATGCAAACATTCAAAGAACTTATTATATAAGGCCTGTTTATACGTCGAATTTCGGTCGCGTCGAGTGTAATTCAAACAATAGAAAATGAGGCTTAATGAGGTTTATCATCTTACTATCTATTGTCTTAATTGCATTCGACGCAACCAAGATTCGACGTATAAAACAGGCCTAAGTGTCTGCCACTGTTTCGGGGGGCAATATCTGATGTCCCTCTCTAGCTTTACATAGTTGAAAAAATATTATTACAGCTTTGTTAGACAGTTATAGTCATCTATACCAGTTGCCCCCTCTGACACCGCTAGTGTCCACATCAAATTAAATCAGTACTACGCTAGTACGCTATATACTAGGGAATATATCCTTATAATTACTGACGGTCATAATAACCTATTGTTTTCTCTCTGCATTATATCAGCGAATGTCGAGAAGTTTTAGGCGTTCTTCTGAAAAACGGGAGCGGTCTTTTTTGATTGTAGGGAAATTCCCAGGGGTAAATGTTTATACGGGCTAAAATAGCACACAGCATTATTAAAAATAATGCAGCGTGCACACAGCATTATTAAAAATAATGCAGCGTGCACAAAGCATTATTAAAAATAATGCAGCGTGCACACAGCATTATTAAAAATAATGCAGCGTGTATCAGTGCACACAGAGACATTATTCGCAATCCTTCGTCATCCTGACAAGTACACGCGATAACGTGAACATCTCAAGATGAGAAGTTGACAGTGCTAAAGGCCCCTCATACAATATCATCGGGCGCCTGAAGCACTGCCAAAACAGTCGCTGTAAGTCCTCAACTCTATAGAGAAATAGTTTCGTTTGCGATTGTGGGATTTTATCCTAGATATACGCATGTGCAGAACACACCATAAGTTCTATTCCCGTGTTTATCCAGTTTAATACGCTCTTTGAATTAACCTTATCATTAATGATAATATGTAAACTAGAACACTATAATTGACCTCCGCTTGTGCAGATTTTAATTTAGGGCGATTAATTAAACTGAAATCTGTTCTATCACGATGCATTACATGCATGTCCTCACAAATGAGTCTAGTGTAACGTTGGATAGACTCATTGTCATACGGTCCCAACAAGCAGCAATGTAGTCCGAAAATAATTACTTTTGATTCGGGTCAGTAATTATAATAGATAATTACTTCGGCCAAACGGCATTATTCGATATATTGCAGCCAGCTTCGGCCTTCGGCCTCAGCTGGCTGCAATATATCGAATAATGCCGTTGGCCTCAGTAGTTATCTATTAAATAGTTATACTATTTATGACAATTCAGCATGTATTCAAAACTACAGATTTTCTGTGGGAGCTGTGTACAAGGGGATTATAGTATACCTCACTGCAGTCCTACAGAAAATGTCAGATCATCCCTAGTTGACCAATCTGGTTGTCTATAACAATGACATTTCAATGCATGTGTAGTCTACTGGTGTGGATGTGGGCCTCGTGAATACGAACCTGGACTTTATATTCCCGAGCCAGCGGTGCGTAGGGTACTAATTCCGCTTGGCTATTTTCTCCAGGAGAAAGGAAAGCATTAGCGCAGTTTAAAAGGCGTAGTTATCTATTAAATAGTTATACTATTTATGACAATTCAGCCTGTATTCAAAACTACAGATTTTCTGTGGGAGCTGTGTACAAGGGGATTATAGTATACCTCACTGCAGTCCTACAGAAAATGTCAGATCATCCCTAGTTGACCAATCTGGTTGTCTATAACAATGACATTTCAATGCATGTGTAGTCTACTGGTGTG